CCAACTTACAAAAAATTATGATAATAACCCCTATTCCTACTCTCAACAACATTAAGTATGAAAAAAGATGATGCATCAACACCATCAATTCCCTTTACAATCTTAAACACCACAATCAGATCCTCCCTAACTTGTCTTTTTTCAAGAGAAAACAATTTCAGAGATCTTAATTTCTTTTCATATGACAATTCCACCATCCCAGGCACTATTTTAGTAACCCTCCCCTGAACTCTTTCCACCAGTTCAATGTCTTGTTTAGGTAAGAAAGCAACTGAACACAGTACTCCAAATGTGACCTAACCAGTGACCTATACAATAAAATTATAATGTTTTTAGTCTTATATTCAATATTTCTGTGGATACAACCTAAAATCCTATTTGCCCTACCAATAGCAACAGGACACTGCTTGGATGGCTTAAGAGACTGATCAGGCATTACACCAAGATCTCTTTCTTTCATGACACTGTTAAGGTTTTTCCCATCCAAATTATATTTATAATTCAAATGCATTATCTTGCATTTATTATAGTTAAAACCCATCTGCCATTTACTTACCAAATTCACTAAATGATTTAAATCCTTTCATAAAACAGCAATATCCTCTTCACAGCTGGCAACACCCAATACCTTAATATCATCTGCAAATTTAAGTAATTTATTGACCATTCCTTCATCTGTCATTGACGTAAATCAAAAAGAACAAAGGTCCTACGACTGAGTCCTGAGGTACCTCACTTGTGACATTAATCCAGTTATTTGTAACAACCCTCTGCATTTTTCATCCCACCACTCTTCTATCCAATTGGGTATGTTATCCTCTACACCTATAGAGGTAATTGTTTCTACAAGCCTTTTATGTTGCACCTTGTCAAAGGCTTTCTGAAAATCCAGATACACAATCTACATACATCCTTACCTTCATTTACATAAGCAGTAAGCTTTTCAAAGAACGTGAAAAGATTTGTAAGACAATATTTTCCCTTTGTGAAACCATGTTGATTATCCAGTAAAATTCTAAACTTTGTTAAATGACTTTGGAAAGTATCTTTCATCAGACTTTCCAAAACTTTTCACACAACTGATGTAAGATAAATGGGTCTATAATTACTGGGAAAATTTTTATTACTTCCCTTGAAAAGAGGAGTGACATTAGCTAACTTCCTTTGGCACTTGCCCACTACTCAAGGACTTACAAAAAAAAAAAAACAGTAGTAAGTAGCTCACATATCCAATCCTTAACCTCCTTAAAAACCCTTGGGGAAATATTATCTGGCTCAGGAGCCCTATTGTTCTTTAAACTTCCCAATTTTTTCTAAAGAAGCTCAGAATGAATGCATTCATCTTGATCAACCTTGTTTCCATCTGTCAACTATTCAAAATGAGGAATACTGCTTAAATCTTTATTAGTAAAAACTGAAGAAAAAGCAGAATTTAATAACCCCACCATCTCATAATCATTGGATAGAAGCATTCCTTTATCATCCTTCAAGGATCCTACCCCCCATCCTAACATGGGATTTGGTACAAAGATACCTTCTTGCAGGTCCCAAGCAGTGATATGGACAGTTTTTGATTTTTCCCATGTCAAAATTGGCCATGTTGGGATTGCATGGTGGAGACATGTTGAATTCACCCATGAATGTTGGCCTTTATTAATATTCAAGTGTCTCACATGTCCATTTTATATGTTATGCATGTAATTTGATGGAAATGTTCGAGCAAATATCATACAATTTAAACAGAAATAACTAAATTGTTGTATGGTGCATTTCAAGCATTTATTACCAATAGAACTGCTTTATTTTTTGGGTTAATCAAACAAAACATTTTTTTATGCAGAACTAATAGTGGTAAATGTATGCATTCAAACGGTTTCTGACATTTATTTATTTTTTGTTCACTACATAAAAGCTTTCAATTATCAATCCTCTTACAGCAAATGCATTTTTAATGTCTCATACAGGTATCATTATAACAGAAGTGTTTGGTATGATGTCATATCCATGATAATTACTTATTTGAAATGTTTTGTACTTGTAAAATGGTATGTAGAATATACAAATGAAACTGTCATAAATCTTCCAAACATATACACTGTCATATAAAAATATATTTATATAAAATAAACCATTTAGTATGTAGCACACACAGTGTCATAAGTATGCCCCCACAATTGCAGGGGATCCAAGCCCAAAGGGCTTGACAAACTTAAGAATTGCTGACAAGGGGAATAAATATGGGGGCCCAATTAATTTTTATGCAGGGGAGGCCATCTTTTGTGGTTAAAGGCTTTAAGTCAAAATTTTGTATCATAATCATGAGATATGTAACTATCTATTTATACTGAAGTTACGTGTTCAATTGATATTGAACAAAGTACTAATTTAGCTTTCTAAACCTTATTCTTTAGCAAATACTTGTAGTTCAATTAGATATTCTGGTATTTCAGTTTGATGTACCTGTTTATACCAGTAGACAGAGAATTAAAATGTTAGTTAATTGTTTTATTACAAAGTTTCCTACATAAATATTATAAAAGATTAAATTATTTTTATAATGACTTCTTAGTTGGTAAAAAAAATCTCTTCAGGTGGAGCTTCTTTATTATAACAAGTATAAAACATTTTCCCAATAAAATGTGAATGTAAATGTAATTGTTGCTAATTGATATTGATACACAGTAACAAAGAATTGTATAATTTCAATTTCTTATATTACAGTCTGGCCGAAATACTCTAGAATATCAGAATCAAGCGAAAATGTTGTTCCGTAAATTAAACACACAGTCGCCTCCATTTTGCAGTATAGAAACAGGACCATATATGTTTCAGTAAGTATTTATTTATTTTGTTACCTTAAATTTAAAATAATCTTTTAATTAATGACATTTTGTTTGTAAATTGTATCTCAGAAACTTTTGGTTTTAAATAACAAGATCGGCGTTGTTGATTACAACAAACCACATAACATGTTATGGGTCTGTGTAAAAGCCAACAGCTGGCAAAAAGTGACTGCCGTTCAAAGGTCCGTTCTTTTTTTCTCTGCCTGCTATAAGTTTTTAGCCAGCTACTCTGAGATCCATGACTGGTGTGTGTGTGTCAATGGTCAATCAGCAGATGTGCGACAAAGATTACAAGTAGGCCAGTCTTCTTCAGTAGAATATGTCAGGACTCAATGTTAGGACCTTTGCTCTATTTGATTAACATGATCGATAGATTGCCTAAATTTACTGCTGATATTAAGGTATTGAGTGTTTCTGACTATGAAGAAGAGGAGGATGTTTTACTAAAGGCTTTATTATTATTATTCAGTGAGTTGGGCAAATAAAAGACAGAAGAGTTTTAATTATAATAAATACAAGGTAATGCATGTGGGTTATCAGAATTTAAGTTATAAATATAGTTTTTATGGGAATAAGCTCAACCGTATTATGGAAAAAAAGGTGTTTGTGTTTGGTTGATGAGTGTATTAAACCATTCAAGCACTGTACTGTTGTTAATGGTAAGGCAAATATGATTTTAGGTTGTATTTACAGAAGTATTGAATACAAGTCTTAAAGAGGTTATACTTTTGTTGTATAGGATCACTGGTTAGGCCTCATTTGGAGTATTGTGTTAAGTATTGGGCTCCTTACCTTATTAAGGACATTGAATTATTGGAAAGGGTTCCAAGGAGGACTGTTAGGATGATACCTTGGATGGAAAAGTTGTCATCCAAGAATAGGTTAAGATTTCTGAAACTGTTTTCTTTTGGAAAAAGAAAGGTTAGAGGGGGGTCTGATTGAAGTGTTTAAGATTATTAATGGAATTGATAGTGTCGGTGCATCATCATGATTGAAGTGTTTAAGATTATTAATGGAATTGATAGTGTCGGTGCATCATCTTGATCGAAGTGTTTAAGATTATTAATGGAATTGATAGTGTTGGTGCATTATCTTGATTGAAGTGTTTAAGATTATTAATGGAATTGATAGTGTCGGTGCATCATCTTGATCGAAGTATTTAAGATTATTAATGGAATTGATAGTGTCGGTGCATCATCTTGATCGAAGTGTTTAAGATTATTAATGGAATTGATAGTGTCGGTGCATCATCTTGATCGAAGTATTTAAGATTATTAATGGAATTGATAGTGTCGGTGCATCATCTTGATTGAAGTGTTTAAGATTATTAATGGAATTGATAGTGTCGGTACATCATCTTGATCGAAGTGTTTAAGATTATTAATGGAATTGATAGTGTCGGTGCATCATCTTGATCGAAGTGTTTAAGATTATTAATGGAATTGATAGTGTCGGTGCATCATCTTGATCGAAGTGTTTAAGATTATTAATGGAATTGATAGTGTCGGTGCATCATCTTGATCGAAGTATTTAAGATTATTAATGGAATTGATAGTGTCGGTGCATCATCTTGATTGAAGTGTTTAAGATTATTAATGGAATTGATAGTGTCGGTGCATCATCTTGATTGAAGTGTTTAAGATTATTAATGGAATTGATAGTGTCAGTGCATCATCTTGATTGAGTGTTTAAGATTATTAATAGAATTGATAGTGTCAGTGCATCATCTTGATTGAAGTGTTTAAGATTATTAATAGAATTGATAGTGTCAGTGACATCAT